ATTCCTTCCTTATTACCTGCAAAATCCAGAAAAGGAGAACCAAATTATCACATTAAAATGACTCAAAACTACACACAACTTTCAGCACATTAAGTACCAAATATCACATAATTGAAAGCCCAATTTGCTTTCTCCGTTTTCGTCAATTAGTATTTGCATCCAAGACTCTCCATGCCATCATATAAGTGTTTTTTTGTAAAGTGTAAAAGAACTTACCTTATTACTATGACTAAATTAGAGAGACTCGTTTGCCATTTTACCAGAAGTTCACAACTATGGTCTAAAATAAGTCTTTTTTTTTTTTTTTGCAACTATAAATCATTTCATCAATGGCAAAATGCGAAAGTTTGAAGTTAAAACTAATATACTCCTTCCGTTTCAATTTCTTTGTCTGGTTTTGACTTGACATGTGGTCTTAAACAAGTCATGTGAGAAGTTAGAATCAAAAGTTGCCGAAAAGGAAAGAAACATTCTTTTCGAAACATACTAAAAAGGAAAAGTACGACAAACAAATCGAAGCAGACAGAGCAGAACTCAAGAACTTGACTTGATCAAAAGGAAAAGAAATAATTTTGACTATACCCTGCATGAAGGAGCTTTGCCACATGATAAATCATCATCAGATTCAGGTTCCGGGTCACGATCATAATCATCCTCGTATTCTCCATTATAGTATTCTTCATCACTGCCATACATGTCATCCATATTTATGAGAACCCCAAAAGTCAAAATACCTCAAAGTTGCAGAAAAATGGAAACTTGGAAAAAAATAAATTAGAATGGGATTTTGCTCTTCTTTTTTTTTAATTCGTCACCAATGGAAATGTTGGTGACAAATTTTTGGAGGGGAAAGCAAGTAACCCCTCCAAAAAGAGATAAAAATTTTTTTACTGTTATTTGTTTCTTAATGAGAAAAAAGCAGAGTGATTTTGATTGTTGTGGTATTATTGGCCTTATATAGTTTCTTTGTTTAGTGGAACTCCTTGGTCATTGGTTAACCATATAAAACTTTAAAATTAGAGTGAAGGTGGACCGTAAATCGTGTGGAGGATAAAGATAAAAAAGTAGAAGAAAAGGCGCTTAACCATTTAACTCAACAACTAATTCTTCCCTTTTAATTTTTTTTTAAATGAAGATGGTTGTGAAAAATATGGTTAAATGAAGTAGTGTTAATCATAAATTAATTATTATTATCGTGACATGGAAGTTTGGGGAGTAAAAGATATTGAGTTGGAACCTTGTCTTAAGCAACTTTTTTTTTTGGCATTTTTCTCAAATTTGTAGATAAAGTTTTGTCCCTAAATTGCGGCAAAAATGGATTTGGACTAAAAGCATTCACATTATGTGGGTTGGATATTACTCAATTAACAAGCAAGTATTTGGTTGTTTTCAACGAGTGGACAAAGGATTCCCCTTTTTTGGCACAAAAATCTCCAGAATTATATTAAACATTGAACAAGAAACTAAACTCAAGAAACACCTTCAACAGAACAAATTGTAATTCTGAGTAGGGACTAATACAAAATTTACAAGAAGCAATTGAGTGATGATAAATCTGAAACATTTCCTCATCTTAAACAGTCAAATCAGATCATTGATATGCTCTTTTTCCCCCAATCTGAGTCAATAAACCACCAAATCTGCAAACCAAAAGTAGAAAAAGGATTACAAACACAAATCTTGGCTTACACCTACGTAAATCCTCATTATCAGTTTTTAGCTTAATCTATCTTTAACTCACTACAGATATAACGTATGACGGTTTTACATACCTTTCTATCAAATGCTGCCACAGTGAGTAAGTACCAACCTGGACAGAGAAAGCAAATAAAATGCGAGTAAATTGCATTAGAAGCTCTCATACATGTGTCCTTCAGTGGAACAGCACACAAGGAAAAATAATATTCAGAGTGTAACCTCAACGCTTGGAAAATTGTGGACGCTTGCGAGCCTTCTTGAGACCAACTTTCTTCCGCTCCACAACTCTGGCATCTCTAGTTAGCAGACCCTCCACCCTCAATGGTTTTCTATGGCTCTCACTAACCTTTAGGAGTGCACGAGCAATGCCAAGGGAAATTGCTTGAGCCTGCCCAGAAAGACCACCGCCTTCCACCTTGACGAAAATGTCATAACTAGCCTCATATCCTAAAGTGGCCAGTGGAGTTTTCACATATTGAATCCACAATGGATTTCCTTGAAGATATTCCTGCAAATCATGACACATGTCAAGTCTCAAATAGTCAAAAGCAACAAAACAATGAATAAAAAGATAGCATAAAAAAGGATGCTGCCAGCGTTAATCAGAATGTTGATGACTTGCTTCATCGGACCTCGAGTATACAAAATTAGAGACCTCAATAATATTAAAAACACTCATGTGTGGTTCCTTATCAAAAAAATTATATTATAACACTCCTATTCACATAGCAACATCACAAAAGTGCAAATTTCACACACCTTTTGGATCTCGGGAGTTTATTTTTTTTTTATGACAAGGGAAACCCGCAGCCGCTACCCTTTGGGTACACACAGGGTAAAACCCCCGCTCCTATGCAATAGCTCGCAAACCACATAGGAGAGGTACCCCGCACTAGGCAAGCCCGGTTCGACGAGCTCGACCCAGAAGGCAAACACAACTTACTTCTTTATATTAACTTAGCGCATCCTACTTATCTAATTTGATTGTTCCTCTACTGCTATGCTTTTATTTATGGAACTTGAAACGGAGAAGTTGTGTTCCTCTCATTGTTCTGTTATATGCACCACTGATCCACAAAAATAGTTTATGCATGCATTTCCCAAGAAACTCAAAGGTATCAGTTATGCTTCCTGCTTCTATGTTCAATTTGCTTTTCAAGGCCAGATTTCCTACTTTACGATCTCTATACACTCTTAACAGAGTTGTCCCTCAATATATGAATTTCTTCACACAGAACATTATGAAGTACTATATGCCTTTCTAAAGCTTTCTATCTACATTGATTTAAAGTGACCAATTCAGCAACCAGCAACCAGCAACTTCTAAATAAGACACATGAGAATCATGGTCAAACCAGGTAAACCAATTGACTACCCGTGTCATATATGAAACTGAGCATCATATTACCTAATGCACATATTAGAGACCACCGGAACCTTTTTCAAATTACCATCTGAAATAACCTTTTATTTTTTCTTATCATTTTTTTCCCTAATGGCAGATAATTCCTCAGAAACACGGCATAGCTTCATGGCAAACTAGTTGGGATTGGCTATATGAAGCTTCTGCAAACATTCGGCTCTAATACATCCACTTCATCAAATACTAATCACTTTAGCAATTAAGGCACATTAGGTTCTCTAAATATCACATTTAGCTAGCGCTTGAGCATAGATTTAAAAATTTATCTTCAAATATTCACTCGGCCATGAAACTTGATCAGATATTCAAGTTCCCAGACACCGGCTCAGACCAATTTTGGGGTTTTGGGGACTTCCACTCACAAAAATTCCATTTTTTTTCCCAAGTAAAATGCATGTCCAAACACAACTGAATCAAAAACTCAATATTTTCAAGTTTCACCTTCAAAATCTGTTCAAACACACAGAAATCCTGGAGAACAATGTTATCACAAGACCTAATTTAACGGTAACGAGAACAATGCAATCCTACTTTCTGCAATTGTACTTGCCAAACTGAATACCCAATTATAAAAATGCAATTTTTATTGAGCAAATCATACATTAAGTGCAAGTAAAGAAGTGAGATTGAGGTAGACAAACACCTTAGCATCACGATAATTGATGATGATTTTTCCAGAACCTTCCTGAAGGACAACACGAGCACTTGCACTTTTACGTCTACCAGTTCCAAAAATAGGCTGTGCAGCGAAACCACCAGGAAGTCTACTTTTCACAAGCTTCAAAAGGTTCTCTCTCGTTTCCAATTCCTTCGTCTCCGGTGCTTCGGCAACGGAAGCTGACACAACGAGCCTAGGGATTTTGGAAGTGAGAGAGAAAGAGAATTGCTTCGAATGAGCAAGGGATACAGCATAGGGTTTTTGAGAAATCTGAGAAGAAAATGAAAGAGAAGCAAAAGATGAGGCGAGAGAAGCCACGGAAATCGCCATTTTCGACTCTCTCTATCTTCTTGGTCGATGTTTACAGTGAAGATTGAGTAATGGATAATGTAAAGGAAACGGGTAAAGGCCTGTTTGGGTAACCCAAATACATAAATATTCATACGTATTAGTAGATTATTATTACGAAATTGGTAAAAGATAAAAAAAAAAAAATGCGACAAAACTAGTTCTTTGACTTTATTGTTATAGTGCGTAAAGTGCATTAGTACTTTGTGAGAATTTCACAATTTTTTTATCAAGTATTCTGTAGTTATTTTTTATCAAGTATTCTGTAGTTAAATATTGTCCTTCGGGATGGCTCAGTTGGTTTGGAGGGTGGTTATCCACACGGATGACCCGGGATCGATCCCCCCTTAATGCCTCCTGAGTCGAGCCTGTCGCATAGGGTTTGCCTAGTGCGGTTTACATCCCCTGTGTGATTTGCAGGCTATTACACAGTGGGGGTTTATTCAGTGTGCACAGAGTGCTCACCCGAAGGGCAGAGGCTGTGGCAGAGGTTGTAGCAGCTGCGGGTTATCTTGGGGTTCCAAAAAAAAAAAAAAAATGGTTATCGACTTACCATACCATACAAATGGACATTGATTAAGTATGATAAATGATATAACGATTGTGAAAATCGAAAATCAAAATTAATCGAACTAAAGTTCTCAATGCCGTACCACATTGCACAATTGAAATTTCAAATTGTATGTATTAAATTGATAAGTCTTTTTATGTTAACAATGGTTAATATTGGTTCCAATTACTGCTACGATTTATCTTCCCTTCCTTTTAAATGCAATGTTCAAGTGGTCACGCTAAAGCCACTCTCTTGGTGTTTCGAATTTCACAATAGTGACTATTTTTCATAGGCAGAGCCAAACATTTAAGGCATTAGGATCCATTCTGAGGGCACATATTCAGATATAAGGATGTAAGAAAACAATACTGAGAAGCATTAGTTCAGCTATCTTCATCAAGACAATAATAACACATTTTTTAGAATACTTGTACCGAAGAACAAGACACAATCAGAGGGCTATCAACAGGACAAGTACAACTACGCAACTAGTTGAATTGTTCAGAAAAACCAAGACTTGTACGAGGATGTCTGAAAAGTTCACAACACTGAACGAACAAGTTCAGTATTATAATCATCTTTCTGCTACCGATCACATTGGTGCTTCCATTTCAGCAGACGGTCTAGCTTAGTTTCTACACTAGATGCTAAACTAATATAGTAAATACGCCTAGATCTTACTAGACCACAGGCTCCCCAGCTTATATATGCTATAAATTAAGGGTCAACGTAAACAATTTCAGCTTGTACAGAAGCTCTCCTGAAGCGAAGCAACTCTTTTAGCATCTCCCATGCACCGTCAGCTGAAGCTGGCTTGACTGTCATTCTTTCAAGAACAGGTGAATTTGAAAGCAGAAAATTGACGAAATTTAGCTCTTGTTTAAGCCCAGTTATACCAGCAATCTTAACATGCCTCAATTGATTGAACATACAATTCTGGTAATCCTCTTCCATAACACTGGCAACTGTTCTCAAAGTACTTTGTTCTTCTGTGCGTGCCTACAAAATGACAATGGCATGAATGTACAGAGCTTAAAGACAGTTCGGCAGATGCTGTGAAAAGTTTACATGCTGCAAAATAGGTTGGGTACATGAATATTATCCATGCAGTGAAGTATGTTGAAGCCAGTTTATGATTGGTCCTAATGAAGTTCAAGTGATATTTGAAACTCACCAACATCTCAAGCTCTTGTAGGTTAGGGGAACTTCTGAGAAGGCAAAGTGCTGCCAAACACTCATCCAAATGGTTGAAATTTATGCGTATTGAAAGAAAACTTAGCTCGTCACAAGGCGTAGGTAGTCTTCCTGGCACTTTATTGTCAGCCAGATACTGCAGACATAACAATGATTAGTATACATTTTCTCCAAAGATTGACAGAGTTTCTCCATTTCAAGCATCCAATAAATAATGCGGGGAGATAAACTTGGCAAAGGCATCCATTAGAGAAATTTTACATTTTAGTTAAGAAAATAAGAACAGTAAGGTTCTGTTAGGTTGGCACAAGATATATCATAAAACAAGGGAGGAATCTCTTCAATAGAAAACCCATTCCTAACAATTTTCCAGTGAATTTAAATGAAGACAATGACAGTGGTAGAAAGTAGTGGCAAGATGTGATGATGGTGTATTTTGAAATAGTAGATAACAAAGAGCGATTACAATTGTTTCAAATAAGGACCCGCGAGTACTAATGGGCAGTGAAAGTTGGAGATTCATAATAAAATATGAGTTGCACTGCAGGACACAAGTCATTTTCACATGGTAGTATTAAATGATTTGACCCTAATGATATTGCATTATGTTAGACAAGCAAACACCGCAAAGTAAAAGATCCAGCTCCATACTTTTGGTTGTCAAACATCATTTTATGCTAAATTTTACAGGAAACAAATGCTTGGGAAGAGAAGTTGCCATCAACTCTCTGGAAATCTACAATCATAGCACAAAAGGTAAGTATGAAGAATACCTTCAAGAAAAAGCTCTGTACTTCAAGCCTTTGAAGACGAGGCAAATGAGCAAAAAACTTGACCAAATTTCCAGCACTGCCTAGAGCAAGATTTTTGTCAAATCCAGGATTTACATATAGCCCAATAGAAACGATGGCAAGATTGAATGTGTTCATGAAATTGATGTCTTCAAAGACGCCTCCAACGTCAAAGAAGAGAAGATTCGGTGCATGGATTTTAAGATCGGAGAAACCCTCAAAATTCATCAGTGTAAGCCGCTCAAGTAAATGGCATCTCGATACGAGTTGCTCAAATGCATCCTGTTCCATAGTGATGTGCTGAAGATCGAGACTTTTCAAGCTTTTAAAACCACTGAATGTGAGAGGTGGTTTTAGAAGACAATTAAAAAGCTCCAAGTGGTTCAACTTTTGACAAAGATATATAGAAGAATGGAGTTTGTAGCGATGGCCTTTCCATATTTCCAGAATAAATTCCTTCACAGCACCCCTTGATAGAAAGAGAATCCATCTATCAATATCACATACCCCTTGAAGATCCCGATGAGAAAGCTTGAACTTGTGTATGGGACCAGAATGAAGTAAGAGAACATGATCAACAATGTTTACTATCTTATTTTTTATGAAGGTTTGGTCTTGGGATGAGATCAAAAGAGATTGATTGTCAAATACAAGGTTTGGAAGAGTAACCCATTTGTTTCTCCATTTAGTTGACAAGACACTTGTCCTCACAGCATCCCTAAGTGATAAATGGGACAGAATCTTGTCAACAATCTGTGCTGGTAAGTTGCTGATATTGTCCACCTCAAGTTCTGCATTGCAAAGGAAGTTGGATGGTATATGTTGCTTCTGCATAGTAACAAAGAAGAAGACATTCATCCAAATGAGAAAAATGTGTATTTTTAGTTTATAACATACATACATGCATACAAGAGTGCTTACAAAAATGCAAAGATGTCAATGTGACAACCCAAGAGAGAGAAATTATCACTGTGGTTTACTGACAAAGAACGACATAGGATAAGAGCACTCAGAGTTCTGTTTTTCTTTAAATGATGCTACTATAATTTGTGTTAAGAGAATAGTTACAGATATGCTGGCCAATTTTTGACCAATTATGAGCAATGTCTACGATTTAAGTAGTCATTTACTTGGTTATGCTCAAGGGGCAGGAATGGCCATTCGAACTCTTCTGAGAGAGGATTTCATCCACAAACACAGAGTTAAGGGATGGCTGATCTTTCACATCACCATTTAGCTATTGCAATTATTTTTCCCATTGTACAACGTCATCATGCAATCAAGGCCGAGTGTTTGATGTTGACCACTAAAATTGGGCCAGAAAATATAGTAAATTAACTGAAAAAGTAAATGCAGTACTTTACTCTGTCAAGCACTGTAGCACATAAATTGAAAACTAGGGGACTAATTATCGTCAAAAAATGTCGAAAGAAGCACACATCAGTGAAAACAATGAAAGAAAGCAAATAAAATGGTTCATTTTATCACATTACACAGTTACTATGAAAGAAGCACATGACTTACCATAACACTCATTTTTTTGTAATGAGATTGTAAAAGATGTCATGCCTCAAAGGTCCAAATAAGGCTCTTTTTGAGGATTTTTGCTGGTCCACCTGATTCATATAAAAGGGCCAAATGTAACAATATGCCACCAAGTAGAAAAACTTTTTAGCATCCATAGAGTAACAGAAGACACACCGCCACTTTGCATATCCATTCAACTGTGCTCTTTATTATTTTCCATAAGAACTGTGCATTCCTTCACCAACAAACTCGTATGGTCTAAAAATGTTGTGTAAGAATTTGTTAATATGTTGAACTCACCCATCATCAGAAGCAAACACTTTAAATGTGGTTTGAAAAGAGATGGTCTAATAACAAACTTCAACAATTAGCTAATGTATTCATCGCAGAGTTTTATAAGAGTTGAACGGATAACTTTTGAAAGAAATTTTCTGAATAATCCTTTCTTTAAAACCATGCAAACAGAAAATGTGTTTGGATAGTTGGTTTTGAAGATTTGTGAATGGAGAACACCCTAAAATAACTTGCTCAAGAAATAGCTTTTCTGAAGACTCCAAAAGAAACATATTTTCGAAAACTTCTTCCAAGATCTCAAAGAAACTTTCACAACAAACACCTTAGATATTTCTTTATTTAGTTGTAATAGGTGTGTTATGCTTGTTCTTCTACTAATTAAGGCACGGTCTTCAAGTGAATCATTTGATTTTGACACTTAAGTACTTCAAATCCCACTGTGACATTCAATTGATCAACATTTATGGATAATCCCTAACATAAATCGCAATTAAAAGCTTCCGAGAGGCACTAAATCAGGTAAAATCTTAACCCGAATGGGTGCTTACACCAAGACAATGAATATACACATATATCTTGCATATACACTTAGTAACACTTAAACACGGTTAAGTGATATGCATTTTCACTTTAACTTGCTAATTCTAAAGGTTAACTGTTTATTTAAGTATAAACACCCGATGTGGGTAAGTATTTACCATCAATCAGTGGCAGCTAGTCAATTGCAAGAACTTCTACTTATCCTAGAAACATAATGGGGGCACCTAGACAGATGCTTATAACATGGATAATAAAGTGGCGCACCTAAATCACTTTACAGAGAGCAGTGGTAGAAGAAATGAGTGTGGATCAAACAAAACAAGTTATTTCCCATAGTCCTCATCCTGTTTTAGCAACTAGCAGAATTTTTTAGCATCCATAGAGTAAACAGAAGGTACACATTCGCTTCGCATAAACATTCAAGCCATAGCTCCTTACTATTTTCCAAAAGAACTGCTTATTCCTTCACCACGAAAGCTGTATCTTCCAAAAATGCTGAGTTAGAATTCATTAGCATATTGAATTCATCCATCAACAGATGCAAACACTTTAAATGTTGGTTTGAAAAGAGATGCTCTAATTACTAATTTCATCAATTAGTTAATGTTTTCATTACAGAAATTTATAGGAGCTATTCGGCTTGCATGTTTAGAGATGATCTTGGAAAGAGTTTTCTCAAAAAATCTTTCTTTTTAAAACATGCAAAGACTAAATGTTTATGGATAGTTGGTTATTGAAGATCTGTGAGTGGGAGCACCCTAAAAACACTTCATAAAAAAATATTTTTTTTTAAAAAGTGTTTCAGAAGATTCAAAGAAACACAATTTTTGGAAAATTTCTTCGCAAGATTCCAAAAGAACTTCAGAAAAACAAAACGCCTTAAAATTTTCTTTATTCAGTTGTAATAGGTGTTGTGCTTGTTATTCTACTAATTGAAGCACAATCTTCAAATGGATCATTTGATTTTGACACTAAAATACTTCCAGTACATTGTGCCACTCAATTTATCAACATTTATGTAAAATAACAACAACAACAACAACATACCCACTGCAATACCACAAGTCGAATCTGGGAAGGTAAGATGTACCATACCTTACCCCTATCTTTGTAAGGGTAGAGAGGCTGTTTTCGACAAACCTCCAGCTCAAAAAAATGAAACCGAAGCAGGATTGCAAGAATAATATGACAACAAATCAGCAAGATACAAGGCAAATGAAGCAACTCGCAGCTTCCGACTGACACTAAATCAGTAGCAATTAGTCAATGAAAAGAAAGAGTAGCACTTAGACATCTGCTTATGACTCACCTAAATCACTTCACATAGAGCAATGGCAGAACAAATGGTTGTGGATCACGAACAAGTTATACATTAGAAGCTATAACCCTCTAATTAACCATCATTAATTCTGAAAAAAAAAACATTAGAATCATATAAATTTTCAACAATGTCTTACAAAACACATCAATAGCCCAAAAAACACAAACTTTATAGGGCTAATAACCTAGAAAATGAAATTAACACAAATAAGAAGTCAAAAAAACATCACCGACAAACACCCTTTGTTTTATAGACTCTATCAATGATTCAAATCACACCAAAATTAACCTAAAATGGAACTTCAACACAGTGGAGCAAGTAAAAAATTACAATTTTCTTGCTGAACAGCAAATTAGGGCTAAATCAGTAGATAGAAGAAGAAGAAGAATACCTTTGTTTTAGGCTGATGAATTTGATAAATCTGTTACGCCGGAAAAAATGGAAGCAAATGATGTGTGCACTACTACATAGCATAGTACTCCCCGTCCTGTTTTACCAACTGAGTAGTCATATAGTGAGTACATAGCTAATGTTCCGTATTCATATTGGAGTCGACTCAATTTGTTATTTGTATATATAGAATTCATTTTACGTGATGATTTTAACAAGTTATTTTTCATACTCAAAGTATTATTTGACATTTTTGATTAAGAATGAAGAAATTTCAATCATATCATTAGGATTTATATTGATTATAAATTATAATTATAAATACTAATAGGCTAATCTTTAATTTTTCGGGTTCATATTAAATGATGATGTTTTTAGTTTAAATTCACCTTTTGTTGTATTTATTGGAAAGTAAAAAGTGTAAAGTATTTAATTATACTTTTTGGTTGTATAAAAATCTTTACATCTAAAGAAAGATAAATTTGAATGGAAACAATTATCTTTATTTATTAGTATATTAAAACTAACTTTTTGCTTTTATTTATTCATTTTAATTATCTAAAGGAAGACATGTTTTTTTTCTTTCTATTTTACTCTTATTATATGAATTTTCCAAAATATTTCTCAATATTTTTTAAAATGTTAGTAATAGTCATGGAATCAGTGGAGTAATAGACAGAAAATAATTATTACATGATGTATTAGAGTTATCGAATATTCATCAAGAATATCGTATTGTTCTATACTACTATAATATATGCCAAGTTCCAACAAACAATAAATAATTGTAATGTAAGTTACAAAATTCTACATATTGGTACAATTGTAAACATAAAACTATATTTTTAACTTGGGTTGGATTATAACTTTTAACACGTTTTAGTTTTGCTTTACAACATTTTTAGGATGTAATTATTTGGAGCTTGATTTCATAAAAGACGTGCATCACTATAATTTTTTTATCAGTACCTCCTTAAATATGATATATTTTTATCTTAATTTTTTTTTGTTTTTTCACAGTCTTCATAGTCCACATTGGAGCTTCGATTAAATTTAGATCGTGCACTACATGACTCATTTAGGAGTGACTTCTAATAAAATTTTCTCCATACTCAGAGCTCAAACCTGAAACCTCTAATTAAGGGGGTAAAAAAAAAGGATGAAAGATGTTTTATGATTATTTTAAGATTATGTTATCTATGCATAATAACATTTACATTGAATTGTCAACTAGTTTTAAGAATGGTGAAGAAAAGGTAAGTGTACTAATTAAGTTTTAAGCCTAAGATCACTTTTACTTACTTGTCAATTGAATGAAAAATATATGTATTTTTATTGGTTTAGTTCGAAAAATTAAGAGATAATTAATTAATTACTTAGTTTCTAATTAATTGCCCTTATTCTTAATCTCATAGTATTTCTCAAATATTGAATTTATTATATTCAAATATTGATATCGTAAAATCATTATTCTATTTACTACTATTTCTTAAGAGTTATGTCAAGTCAATACCAGACAAATAAAAATAAGCGGATGGAATTTGTCAAAACTTGGGATAAAAATTGCAACTCAAAATATCCGTATATCATCCAAATGGATAGTCCGAAAGGCCCAAATGTAACAATTTGTCATCCTAGCCCACTTCTAACTTCATTAGGAACTGGATGGTCTTCATTGCTCGTAAGTCGTATTTACTTGATAACCATAAGTCATTAAACATAAAATAATTACACTTCTTTTATTTTTTTCGAAAAAATAACCTATAATTATTATAACTTTCTATATTGACGACGGTATAGTTAATTTTAAATGAAAGGTCATGTTAAACTAATAATCTTTCGGTGTGAAGAGTGCGCTACTATAAGTTGTTCGTTGCGCTTCAACCTAGAGTGATAACTTTAATTTTAGTTTAAAGAGGTTTGTTGTTGAACTATATAATTATTTTATTTAAATATTTTAATCGCTAGAGGAAATACATTTTTATTTAGTTAAAGCAAAGAATGTTCATACAAGCACAATACAAACGTGATTCTAGAGTTGTTGTACGTATGTATTCTCTCCATTTCAAAATAAGTATCGCTTTAAAAATAATAACTCAAAATGAATATCGTTTTAAAAATTCTAGATAAAAAATAGTATAATTATCCTTTGAGTATCGGTTTTAATGGCTATAATAGAAGAAAAAAAAGTACTGCTTTGATGAATTTGACTCTTGACTATATTAATTTTCAAAATTGAAGAAGGCTAATGAATTAACTTATGATAGCTTCTCACGTTACTCCACCCAAAATCGAACACGTGTCCTCTTATATTTGATTCCCCATTGACCTACCTACATTTATTAGATTTTGGAGGGACTCGAAGCAACAGCATTGAGACTCAAAGGTCGAATTTTTTATTTTATTTTTCATTCATATCCGGCTTTGGTACCACATTAAAGTCCGACTAAATTAAAATTCACATTAAAAAGTTTATATTATGGGGTAAAGTGCTTCCTAACAAAGGCAATTCCGTATTTAAGAGAACTCGAAAGTCAAACCTGAGACCTGTTGAATAAGAATGAAGAAGTATGTATTACCCCACCACAATCCTTGTTGATGACTCAAAGATCTAATTAATCTCTGAACATATATTATAACTCAACCACAAAATAATACTCAAAAAGTCAGAAGAGTATTTAAATTGCTCCCTCCTTTATAATTTGTATTTGTAGTTTGACAATATAGACATATTTAATAATTTATTTGTCATTATAAGTAATATTTTAAGATGTATTCTTTCATCGTATTAATATGAAAAAGTAGTCATTAATATACATCTAATTTGCATGGTCATGAAAAAGCTACTAGAGTTTTCTTGACCTTGAAGCTGTCATTACGAGTTTGTCATAATGTCGACGGCATCTAAACGTAACTCAATGAAAAATCAAATTCTAAACTAGTGTTTTAGCCATGAATTTCTTAATTAGAAAACATTAATATTGAAAACACTTTTAAATTCTACACGAATTATTAATTTCATCTCTAAATTATTGACAACCTTAAAATATACTATCCTTTGACTTGATTAACTGATCAGTTTTTAAATTTTTGGAATAATCACTCATAAAATTTCAAATTTCCAAGTAAAATATGCATGTATATAATAACTTTTAATTTCAAAATTTTAAATTTTCAAAATTTGTAATCAAACCATGATTAAAACGGGTCATGAAATTACTAAAGAAATACTTCCTATATCTACTTTTCGCCAAACCTTTGACTTCTTCTTCTTGAATTGAATTATATTTTCTCACCGCCCATTTATATATACTATATTTATTTATTATTATATATAGAGAGAAGAGAAGAAAAAAACTTTGATATCTTACAATTTCAAAACACAAAAATTGTGTTTCCCATTCAAGAACACTAGTAATACTCAATATTCAAGAAAACAACATTTTTTTTTTCTCAATGGAGGGACTATGTGTAAAGCTTTTTGAAGCATCAAGGTAATTAATAATTTTTCTATATATTTCCATTTTTGCTATATTATTATTATATAGTATTCTTTTAATGAAATTTAATTATTTTTTCTAAAGAAAGTACAAAATGAAGAGACATAAAGCTGAAGCAATAGGAATGGTAGATAGTTTTGAGGCAAGTCATGAAGGGATCAAAACTGTTGATATCCAAAAACGTTGTGAGTTCTCTGGAACTTCTCATCTTTGCATCTATTTCGTCACTTGGAATATGAACGGTCAGGTATGTACGTTCATTTTTACTTGTTCAGTTTAAATTTTGCACGTCCTTTAAGAAATAACGACCATTTTGTGACTAAGTAGCTCATTGCTAAAGGTATTGGATTAGAGATGAATATTGTTATTTATGAATCGTATAAATTATTTGTCTGTCGCTAATTTCTGTTTGTTCAGTTTAAATTTTGCACGTCCTTTAAGAAATAACGACCATTTTGTGACTAAGTAGCTCATTGCTAAAGGGATTGGATTAGAGATGAATATTGTTATTTATGAATCGTATAAATTATTTGTCTGTCGCTAATTTCTGTTTTCTTTTAAGAGTGAATTTTTGACAATTTTTGTGCATATATTATTTTTGTATGATGTGAAGGTACCTTGTGAGGATATAGCAAAATTAGTTGGTGAAGACAGAAAATATGATTTATTGGTGATGGGTTTGCAAGAAGCACCTCGAAACAACATTTGCAAGTTATTGAAGAACACATTGGCTGATACTCATATGTATGTATATATATCTATCTTTAATTTATTTAATTTTTACTTCTTTAGGAAAAATTTAAGTTATATATACCGATAATATACTGTATTTTTGCATTATCAACTTGTACCAAATAATCATTTGCTCAGTTTACTATTCTGGTTTGACATGTTAAAAGGAGTTGCTCTATGTTTCAATTTACTTGTTTTTTTTAAGATCATTTAAAAAAATGTTTCTTTCCTTTTTTTTAATAACTCTTTAATTTCAACTTTCTATTTGACATATTTATCATCACAAAATTAAAGAATATTTTGATTCACATTTCAATATCTTTGGCTTATAAAGACCACAAAATTCAAAAGTTACTTTCAAAATGATTAATATGTCGAATCAGAATAAATAATTGTTCAGGTTATATCCACTTTGAATTTAAGCACAAAGTCAAAATTAGACAAACAAAGTAGAACATACAAAGTACTTGTCATTGTAAGTTATTAGTTACGGTGATATAAAAGTTATTCAATCTAGTTCATATAATTTAAACTCTTGCTCTTAGTTTTCTCTATTATTCAAATGTATCAATTTTAATTTCTTTTTTTAGTAAATTAGTTTTTCTCAGGGTAGCTAGGTTGTATAAATGTTTTTGGAAATAAAGGAAATAAATTCAAAGACGATAAGTTCAAATATAGCAAGACAATAAAGAAGCATATCGACAATGACTAGTTACTAATATTGACGTGTTTTCCCTCTATTATTAAGTTTCAATTTCAATTTGTATTTTGTTTTTCATTCTAGAAAAGTCATGTTTTCCTTGATATTCGGTACTACAATAATTTTCGTGGTCATGTTTAAATTTCTAGGAAAAAACAGTACTAATACAGTACTAATATACATTGCATCTTGACATATAATTTTTA